GCCGCCCACTTTGCCACCTCTACTCATGAGTCAAGCCAGCTTCTTGTAGACGCTGAATATTTAATTATATACATGCACCTTCTTTTTATTTGATCCAGTGTTCAAAAACCCAAACCGGCCCGTCCAGATTGAAACTAGAATCAATAAACCGATCGTATAATTGATTTGGATAAAGTACTGGATTGGCCAAGCATTAAAATCGGCACGAACTGGTGAAATCCAGCTATTTTTTATAAAAGTCGGTGACCCGGGGAATTCAATCGGTGATCAGGCAATTCATACATGTTTAATAAAAATCATTTTTTTTAAATTTAAGAAGCCTATAAAATAAGATAAATTTATAATTAATAGGATAAATTAATGAATTGTTAAGATTTCATCTAAATTTTACTTGTGATAGATGTTAAATGTTTGAAGACAGATCAAATATTGTGTGTTTCTTTGTTTGTTGGACAATGTTATGCAATTTATTATTTTTCACATTAGAATTTTTGGATCTGATATAACTTTTTACATGTATTTGAGTATATTTGTGGACTTTTTAGTATAAAATATAAATTTACACATACTTTCTTAGGTCTACCGGTTGGTTGAACCAGAGCCCCAATAATCCAGTATCCTGATCGGGTTAATGACCGAGCTAGGATTAATAAACATTGATTTTTATCTCACATGGGAACTTTGAACTTCGAAATGAAGATTTGACACAGACTCTCCTTAATTAATTTTATTTATTTACTGGTTTATTGATTAATCAAATAATCCAGTCAAATCAGATATGATTGTAAGTATGATAAAACTCTATCTATCAAATTTTCAATACAGTTACATACGTGCCACAACTTAGTACTTATTTGGATCCTTTCTTTTTTAGATTCTCTTCTCCTTATAAGCAAAAGCTATGTCAAACTGTTATAAAAAAAAAAAAAAAAACTATGTCAAACCGGTTTTTATAAAAACTCTTGTATAAAAACAGTTTTTTTATAATGAAGAAAAAAGCCAGACGCTCCTAAGAGGAACTTTTTTTTAAGCTTTTATTAGCTATTCTTAAAATGAGGTTTGAGTTTTTAAATAACTTTTAAATTAAAATTTTGATGTAATTACCAAATAGTTTTTAACTTTAGCTTAAAAATAACTTTTAGTTTAAAAAAGAAGAAGATCAAAACAAGCTCTTAATCTCAATATCACTTATTAAGTTAGAATAACCACGTGCCAAACAATCCACATGTTTAGTGATTTAATTTCTTCTTCTTCTATCATAAGCAAGAACCCATTCTTTCAAAGAAAACTAATTGGAGAAAAGGTAGTAGAGAGTTAACATTTCTGAATATGACGCATGAGAAAAGGGGGAAAATGCTAATCCAATGTAGTTATAAGTGAGCTTGGTTGATATTCATAATTATGATGTTTTACTTTGAATTTTTTTTTTTTTTTTGTTATTTTGTAACTGCTAGCTGAGGAAAAGGTTGTACTTCATTCCCTTTGTTTATTTTATAGAGGAATATTCTCCTTTGCATTGTTGAATATTTTAATAAAAGATTCCCAAGTTAGGTCCATACTCCATAGCCATTCATCTTCATTTCAATTTTGCATTTTTTTCAACTATGACAATGACAGTTATCATTTGATAAAATGAAGTTATCATTTTTATGAAGCAACTAAAAGCTACAACTTTTCTACCAAGTTTCCTTTCTCCCTCCCGCGGAGACTGTAGAGCACGCCACGTCTTCCCATCGAATGCTTCGTTCCTTAAAATACGCTGTGCAATTATGTATAAATCACACTAAACTTGAGGTTTTTGAACTTTAATTAATTGGGTTTGAATAAATTCTTAAAATATATGCATCAAACTATAAATTCTTATCAGCTTAACTCCGTAAAACATGTATGGATCAAACTTATTTGAACTTTCATTCTTAAAATAGCTATTGGGTTCTTTCATGTAAACTTTTTATAAGTATGTTATTTATAAGTTATGTTCTTATTAAGATTGGCATACTTCAAATAAAACCTTCATTTTTCCTTAAACTTCTATTATCGGAGAATGAAACTGAAAGAAAATACTATCAAAGCTTACATGGGAGCTGAGTAGGTGATGGAAGGACTTCACTTCATTTTGATTCCCACCAATATCATTTTTGGGAGAACATAAAATCTTAATTCCTATAACCCGCCCTGAACTCAGGATTAGTTTCATAGCCGGCTCAAAGAGTTAAAACTTGTGAAGATATTCAGGAGATACTACTCACCTCAAAAATGTAATTATGGTTGGTATCCAAAAAAAAGAGTATTTTTTTTATTAAAAAATAAATGCATATAAGTTCTTTGATTTTCACCAAATTTATATAATATTTTGTGTAAAAAAGAAATTGCGACTCTAACTTCTTTCTCTGTAAAGTTTGTATCAAAACAATAAAGTTGATAACTTTTCAACAAGGACTATATTTGATATAATACTACAGAGTTTTTCTACTAGTATACTGGGGAAGAAAACTTTCTTCCTAGATAATTTAACAAAAGAAATATTGGTTTAGGAAAAATAATTGAATAATTAATACTTCTTTTTCCATACAAAGTATAAGAGAAAAGAAAGTTGTTTCATTATAAAGCTACGGGATACTATAAAACTCAATAAAATTTACAATAATATTTATAGCTTAAAAATGAATTATCACTTAATTTTAATTTTGAAAAGTTATATATTTGGCAATATATTTGCTCAGCTACGTACGGTGATTGATCTATTAGGTCTTGCTAATCAGTACTTTGAATACTTTTTGAATGGAGAAATCCTGACTCTCAGTCCTGATAATAAAGAAAATAGTTTTGGGAGAAGTAATTTTTATAATAATTTTGACAGTACTCAAATTGAATTAGTTGTGTAATCCATGAATATAAAAATATTTTTTGAATTATTAAGATAATAATATTTTTATTTAATAATTTCTATTTTAACTTACTCAGTGATAAATTTCTAATTAAATTAACGACCGTTGCATTTAAACAAAAAAGAACATCTCACTGTAGTTATTCAAGTAAAAATTAAATTAAATAACCATACTAAGTAAGTATTTAGCCTTTATGTTTAAATATCTTGGCATGTTGATCCAAATATATGATTATCCTTTATCTGCAAGTTTTCCTAATCATTATAATTTAGTATAACCAAAAATATATAAATTACTTTTGTTATTTTTCTTAAAAATCTAAGAAAGTGGAAGAAAATTGATAAGGTAAGCAATGGGCCTAGTAGTTGCAAAGGAGCTACCTCATGTAACCCAATGCCTTTCAGGAATTAATCCCTATGACCCACATTAAAAGTGGCTAATAGAGAAGTGCATCGTCAGAAAATTAAGACCTTTGGAAAAAAATAGTAAAGCTCAATGCTAAAATATTCCCAACCAGAACAATTGCCAAACTACTCAACTTTACCAGCACAATTAACTCCTTGCCATGGAAAATTGTAAACAAATTGTCAGGGTAGCTAACAAAAATCAGCATGGTTTCAAATAACAAATGGTTCATTATACTTGGTGAACCAATGAACCTCTAATTAAGTACTTTGACTATAAAAGCACAGAGATTCATACTTGTGTGTCTCAAAAAAGTTGAGCATATCCCTTTATATATTATCTCCTCCATTAAGAAAGGCTGTTACACAAGATAAACTAGTTTGGACTACTTCAGGCAAACAAAACTTTAAACTGTATGTAAAAATGGTATACCATACCAATTTCCTTACCAAGAATGGCAGCAGCAATTGCTAAACTGATTTTGCATATCACTGCTTGTTTCAGAGATGGTATACTAATAACTTTTCATCAGGTTAAAGCTTTTCTCTTTCTAGATAATTGAGCTCTCTAAATTTGTTACAAGCTAGTGAAACAAAGGTCCTACAAAATTTTACTAGGTTATGTGTTCAATTCTAGTCATTGTATACAAAAAAAGGTCCTACAACATTGGATTAGTACCATTCTTTTCAAAGGTCCTGCAAAATTGGATTAGTACAAAATTGCAACAAAGCTCTTTAAAACTAACTCGAGATCTTTTTATCAAATTTGTCTTTCGTAGGATTTGAACTACAATTTAAAAATATTTATTAATATTGAATCATATAGTTGTTACACACTTTTTCCCCCTAATTATAGTTTTTCACTTGACACAGCATATTTAATTATAATGATGCAGACACAATATGTTTAATTATCTTGTTATACCTGTTAACCGTTGATTGAGAGTGAAGTGATAATTTGTCTGCTGAGAAGATTGTTGGTCCCTTAAGTAACTCTGCCTGTAGAGTCCTGAATCCTGACAAGAGTTCAAGGCCATTCATTGCGTGCAGTGTTCTAGTGAAGCTTCTCTTGGCAAGAATAAATAAGGGACTGGGTACTTAGTAAATAATTTGCACAATTAGTTCATCGCGTTGATGGTAACTCTTACAGCAATTTAGAAATATGACGATTGAGTGATTCTTTGAAAGTTGGTTAAGATCATGATTCATGACTAGTGCTTTTCATACACAAATTCAATACATGTTTATTAGATAAAAGAAATGTAGCTGTAATAAGTAATGACTTTGTATAAGTAGATACTAAAAATGTTAATTTCAAAAACAAAGAATTATAGATAATTGGATAGTGTAGCATAAATCTTACAAAAAAAATTAATTTGTATTAGTTTTTTTTTTTTTGGTAGTTAATTTGTATTACTTTAGGGTTTATTTTTAGGTCACCCTCTCATACAGTTTTTTTTTTTAATAGAAAACTAACATAAATTTTGAAAAATATGCATTTTTAAACTGATTCTAACCAGTATTTTTTATTATTTTTTTGAACTCTTCGTATTAGAACCAGTTTTGAACCAAACTACTGAACAGGCTTATTTTTATATGGACTTATGTAATTGATTTATCTTGTAACATTTTAATCTGGTTTTGAAAGTTGTCAAAGACATTCTTATGTTGTGATAAACAATAATAGAAGAGTTCAAATAAATTTTTGGGATATCTTTAGAAGAATATATTAACTGCAAACATCAACTCAAAGTGCATTTCAACATTCGAGCCAGATTTTGACGCCATTAGTTCAGGAAAAAAAAAAAAACAAACATAACTGGCTCAATTACTTAACACCAGCACTAGATAAGAAAACACAGCTAAGCACCGAATGAAAAACACTTCATAGTTAAGAGCTTATATATCACTCAATACTTGAGAGGTGCCTGCTGGGTTGGTAACAATCCAAAACGCTTCTTCAGAAGAACTCTCTGCCTCGAATATTTGTCATCAGGTGAAAACCGGGCTGCAGTTCAGGAAAACCAAGAACTAAAAATCACAAATAGCTATAGAAAATGGAGCATGAATTTTACATAATATTTGACATGTATTTATAGGAATTGTCCAAACAGGGAAAGTGTAATGTTCTTTAATAAGCAGTGACAATTTCACCAATGACGAATGAAGGGAGTGCAAAAAACAGAGCTTCATAATAAATATTAATAAGAAGAATAAGAAGATAGGAAGTATCCATTGCCTCATAATTCACAAAATCAAAATATGTGTTCTTGTTAACATAATTTGCCTCACACCTTTGTCTCATTTGTAGTGGAATAATCACCAAGAGAGAGGTAAACTAAGTTACCAAGTTCAAGTAATTTAAGATCTTAAGTAATCAACCACAATGATGATGTTTCTCAGCCAATGATTTCCCTTGGTCCCTCCAATACACGTCCAAAATGTAATATTCTCGCAATCTAACAAGTTGAAGATTGTAATATAAAGACATAGATAGACGAAAAAAGAAAAATAGGTTATTAAGCTTGCATGGCATGCTCAAATTGACTCAGCAGTTCAGGCAAAACGATTAGGCCTACTAGGTCTAATGGTGTCATTTTTGTTCCTCCTTTCACTTTTCCAAGGATAAAAGTATGTTAAAATACAAAATGATGGTTCAATCCAAGTACCAAAGAAATATAAAGAGGTAGACACTAGAAAAGAATAACCAAGCAAGCCCTCAAATAAAAAATATCAACATTCAACAATACTACAGACCATGGTGTATTTTAGGACCAACAAAGAAATCAGAAAGGAAGAAACCAAAAGGAAAAAAAATTTATCATTCACAAGCAAGTATAACAACTTAAGAGACCGCATAAGTGATAAAAGTCAGAAAACAGTAGTTAATTGAGCAAAATACCTGGATGAGCAGATTGTGTAGCTAACCCAAGTGGTGACTCTTTCTGCAAAGGTTAAAAGCAACAGAAGTGGAATTTTAAAACATAAAGTTTGATTTACCAATGAACCACCCAATTTATTACTTATTACTGATCATCCATGCAAGATGCAGTTTTATGACTAGGAGTTTTAGATGCAATAAATAAAAAAATTAAATTATACAGCTGAAAGATTGGATTTGGCTTCTCTAAAGTGGGGGTGCACTATAGAAGGAAAAGTGCAAAATTATAGTCACAAGTTGAAAAATCAAGAGTGAATTTTAACAACTTTGAAGCTCTTTATACATGCGCATGTATTTTATCACAATTTTAGTTGTTTATTTGTCAAGCAATTGTTATAATTCCGCAATTTTTCCTCTAAAGTACACCCCTCAATTTAGAAGATCCAAATTTAATATTGCTACATTAAGCGAACGAGATTATTAAAAAAAGGAAAAAGCATTTCTCCCGTAACTGAAAATAAAGTTATATCCAAACGACGTCGTTTTGGAATTATAAGATTAAAATATTATAATGATAAATACTAATATAAACCTGCAATATATTAAAATTACAAAAATACTTTGATTTCGTTTAGATATCATTGACCGGATAAATCCTTTACCCTTAAAAAAAATGCAAATAAAACTTTCAGCCATTTCCATAAAGCTTACCTTAGTGGTGTAGACTTTGTCACCATTATCGTTTATGTAAAACTGAAGATACATGGTCACACTGATAGCTTATCACTGCAAAAATTGAAGTAGAAAATATCATTCATACCACACCATATAAATAACACAACAAATATTCCCCCCCAAAAAAAAGGGGTTAAAAGAAAAAACTCAAAGAAAAATTGTATAAATTATGAGCAAAGTAATTACTGGGTGTTGTTATACATAATAGAACTATTAGAAACCTAGCTCGTGTCGAAATCGTAAGGTGAAAACATAAATCATTAAACAGTTATCAGAAGCACACCTGATTGAAAGAGAACAGCAGCAGAGGTAGAGAAACCGGCGTCGGAGAGGAGGAACGTCAAAGGGTGAAAGAAGGGTTTAAGGTTTTGTGATCTTTTTCTAATGTAGTTGTCTCAATGAGCCTATGGGCTTTTCTTTTAGGTCACCCTATGGCCCATTATTGGCAATACGTAGCAGGCCCTTAACTGGAGTTATTTCATATAGGCCCTAACGATTGAATCTAAATTAAAAGCTTCATCATCCAAGTTTAATTTTAAATTACCCATTCTCAAATAACTACTACAAATTAAATTATTATCAACATAAGTAACTAACAAATCTCTAAAACATTTCAAGACAATTGTGTGTACCCTTCCCTTACTACTTCTTCCACGTTATCACACAACTGCAAACCAACGAGCTATTAATTCTGGATTGAAACATTGACTTTTCTCAGCCAAATTGTCTATCTTCCTTCAGGAAGCATCCAGACGAAATTGATAATATCTTGAAAGTTCAACTCTCTAGCATTTATTGCTTCAATTGTAGCGTTCTAGACTTTTATGGCAGCCAAGCATATGTTCCGATGCTTTACCAAATCTTGTCACATTAACAGTTAAATCTTGTCACATTAACACTTACTTGAAAAGTTTTGAGTTGAAGTTATTTTTTATATAGTATCAAAGCTTCAGTAATTACAGGGTTATGAGTTCGATCCTCATCACCTCATTTTCAAGTGGAACCACTTTCAACTGGAATTAAAATAAACACAAGATAAACCTAAAAAAAGAAAATTGGATTTGTGTAATATTCACACTTCAAGTTCAATGGGCTCTTATGTGAGGGGGTGTGTTTAAGAATAATATAAATCATTAAAAAGATCCACACCTAATACTTAAGATTTTGCGTTGAAGTAGTTCTAAGAGTAATTGATAAAAAAATATATATAAGATAATAGGTGATAAGGGTGGTTTATGATCATTTTCCTTGTTTAAATTATAAATTAAATAATAAAAATTATAAATTGAGTGATAAAATTGGTGACTTTTATGAGTATATATGTAGCTTTTATTACTCAATTTATAATATTTGACATAAGATCTATAATTTTTAAAAAAGTAATACAGTTATTATGTATGTATTTATTTTTTAAAGGATACCGAAGTCAACTCCAAATTTTAAGTACGGATTTATGCATATTTTTTAAGGGTTTTATAAGAGTTATGTTGTAGGAAAAATGATTGTGTAATGTTATAGAGATTCGTTTTGCGAGTCGTAGATTTTTTTTTTGCTTCAAAAAGTGTGGGCACCACAAAATGTTGTGTGTGTAGGAAATATTTTTGTGTCATGTTAAATGATGAATGCAAACTCCATTTTTTAAACATACTTCATATAATATTTTAGTATAAATAATTAGTTCTTGTATAGACACATAAACACATGGGTTTGGTGTTTGTCGTTTTAAATGACATAAGTTGTGTCATTTTAGGAGAGAGATAGACACAGAAAAACGGAAATCATGGGAGAGAGAAAGTGGGTGGTTTTTTTAATTTAAAATTCAAATTTTTTGTGTCTGTATCTCTCTTAAAATGACATAACTTTCTGTCATTTAAAATGACAAACACTTTTCCCTAAACACATACGTGGGTAGGATCTTTGACATCAGATTTTAACCGTCAATTTTTGTTAATTTAACGGTTATAATTTATTAGGTCACATTAATTAATTAATTATAAATCCTAAATAAATTATGCTTGTTAAATTGGGAAAAACCAACAGTTAATATCTAGTGTTAAATGATCTTGTTCCTCTCTCTCTCTCTCTATATATATATATATATATATATATATATATATATATATATATATATATATATATATATATATATGGGGCAGGATATTCTTACACCGGTGTAAGAGTTAGAAGTCTTACACTCAATTTTGAGTATTGTTCCACTTGTATCTAATGGCTCAAATTACTAAAAAATTAGAGTCCTTAGATATAAGTAGGATCAACGATCAAGATTGAGAGTGTAACTTACACCAGTGTAAAATGATCCTAACCCTATAAATATATAGGGATTTATATTTCTACAGCTGTTATACGTGCAACAGTCAAATACTTGCTATATATATGTTTGAAAATTTTAAATATGGAGAATCATAACCATACAAAAGATAAAAGCATTAAATGTGATGAATCATAACCATACACCTGTCGTTGCTGTACGTAATGCTGCTGTAGAAATGATTTTACCAAATATATATATGAGGCAGGATCATCTTACACCGGTGTAAGAATAATAAGTCTTACACCAAATCTTAAACATTGATTTTCTGCATCTAACGGTTAAGATTTATTAGGTCTCACTCATTAATTAATTTTTAATTCCCAAAAAATCTCAACCGTTGGATGCACGGAAATCAATGGTTAAGATTTGGTGTAAGATTTATTATTCCTATCCTAGTGTAAGTTGATCATATCCCATATATATATATATATATATATATATATATATATATATATATAGGGTCAAGTGTGTGTCATTTTAAAGTATGTAAAGTTGTGTCATTTTAAGTGAGAGAAAGAAATAGATAAAGGAGGAGAGAGAGTGGACAAAAAAATAAAGGTGTGGGTCTCATCTCTTTGTGAGAGTGAAAGGATGTAAGTTGTGTCATTTAAAAAGACAAACAATTTTCCCATATATATATGGGTTTGTTTTTTCTAAAGTTACTTTAGATAACTTTATCTAATGTTCATCGAAACGACGTCGTTTTGGAGCGGAAATCATGGTATTTTTGTAATTTTAATTTATTTCAAGGTTATAATAGTCTTTATCTTTCTAATTTTTTAATTTTTCAACCCAAAAACGATGTCGTTTTGATGAACATCAGACAAAATTATCTAAAGTAACATTAGATACTCTTTTCCCTATATATATTCATGTTTTCTTATGTTGCATGAAAACATGAGAGAACAAAAGTATAGACAAATTAAATGTGGGTCCCACATTTTATATTAAAAAATAAAAAATTAATTGGCACGGAAAGCGAATTAGTGCAGGAAATTTTTTTGCTCTCCTGCAACCGGAGAGCATGATTTCCGATATGTATATATATACATGGGAATAACATTTGTCATTTTAAAGGATGTAAACTTATATCATTTTAGATCCTAACCGTTGATTTCCGTCCATCAACGGTTATAATATATTGGATCAAAATTATTAATTAATTAATAATAAATTTGACCCATTAAGTTTGACCCAATAGATTATAACTGTTGATGGATAGAAATCATCGGTTAGAATTTAAAATGATATAAGTTTATATCCTTTAAAAGGATAGATATTTTTCCCTATATATATATGTATACACAAATAATATTTGTCATTTTAAAGGACACAACTATATCATTTTAAGTGAAACGACTGTGTTTTAATGCATATTTCATAATTTTTTTATATTCTTTCTTCTTCTCAAAATTATGATGAGAGAGAAAAGGATAGTATTTTGAAGGAGAGATAAGGTAAAAAAAAAAAGCCACGAAAATACAATTATTTCACTTAAAATAACATAAATTTGTGTCTTTTAAAATTAATATATATGTGTGTGTATATATATAGAGAGAGAGAAAATGGATAGGATCCTTTGACACCCGAGTCAAATTTAGAGTTTGACATATCATTTGAGAGCCATTAGATAAAAAAAGATCAACGGCTCTGATTTGTAAGCATGTGACACCATTGATCTTTTTTGATCTAACGGCTCAGAGATGAGGTATCAAATTTTAAATTTAACACCGTGTCAAAGGATCCTACCCCTATATGAGGTAGGATACTTTGAAACCAGTGTCAAATTTCAAATTTGACACCTCATCTGAGAGCTATTAGATAAAAAAAATCAATGGTGTCACATGTTGTCACATGCTTACAAATCAGAGTTGGTGATCTTTTTTTATCTAACAGCTCTCAGATTATGTGTCAAATTTAAAATTTGACACTGTGTTAAAGCATCTTACCTCATATATATATATATATATATATATATATATATATATATATATATATATGATCGTTTGACACCAGTGTCAAATTTCAAATTTGATACCTCATCTGATAGTCGTTAGATAAAAAAAGATCAATGGCTCTGATTTATAAGCATATGACACTATTGATCTTTTTTGATCTAATGGCTCTCAGATGAAGTGTCAAATTTAAAATTTGACACTAGTGTCAAATGATCCTACCTATATATATATATATATATATATATATATATATATATATATATATATATATATTATGATTTATCAATTCCAGTACAAAATAAAAATTGTATCAATTTTACACGAATCTGGACGAGTATGCAAGAAGCCCGTATGTCTTAGAGGTCGTTTGGTTAAGCTTTTTTTAAAAGTAACTTTTACCACTTATTTATTTTAAAAGTACTTTTTACAAAAGTTAAAACTATTTATATTTTTATAAAAATATTTAGTTTTTAAAAAAAATATTTGGCTTTTGACTTCTGCTTTTCTGAGAAGTTAAAATTTTTAACTTCTGAAAAAAAGTAGGTTTTTGACTTTTTTTGTGACTTCTCCTTTTTTTAAAAGCAGACATCCAAATGAATTAAAAATGAAAAGTGCTTTTTTTCTTGAAAAAAAGCAGCTTTTGAAGAAAAAAAAGTCCATCCAAACGAGTCCTTAGTCTTATGCATACAAGGGGACTATGGAAAAGAAATGTCAAAATATAAAACCTTATTTAAAAGGATATCGACCAGGTACCGTTTGCTGTTGACGTGCAACGAAGATATGAACCCTCAGACAAAATGGTTTCCCAATTATTAATTATTGACTTCCCTACGTCAACCTATAATGGAGACGTAAAATCAATTGTCAAGCTTTTACCTCACCAAGGTTTCAAAAACACTATTTTTTTAACTTAAAACCAATACAATTCAATTATGGGTTTCTACTTTCTAGACGTTAGAAAATAAAATTAATCGTTGAATAACTGTGGAGAGTAGACACAGGAAGAACAATTTAGACATTGAATAATTTGGAGAACGCAAGAAGCACTTAGTTTGTTAATTAGGCCTTGGGATGTGCCAAAGACGCTAATTAATCATCCTTCCATGCTTTATTGAAAATTATTCTGGAAAAATCCCAGGGATTT